GGGGGGGGGGGTTATTACATAAGCATTGACCGCGACAACCGGCCATGTGTCTCGCTTTGATGTCCCGAGAGGGATAGCTTGCAACGCCCGCACTCAACCGTAAAAAAAAGTGCATGGGGCGTTGTACGTATCTCGCTGCAGGTCATCACCACACATATCTCGCTGCATCGGTTCTCTTCATGGCTGACTTATGCCGCCCTTGCTTGTTGGTGCTGCCCTCCGCTATCGCACTGTTCGTTTGTTACTCCTACTCCTACATGTACGGCGGTTACCACAACAACGAACCAAGACGAAGGGAAGGGAAGGGAAGTCCCATGACATCGGCCGCGACAACAGCAGGTGGCCTTCTTTCTCGCTTTCTGCCGGGATTTTAGCGGCGGCGACGCTGGCCACAGCACACACTCATACAATTTTTTGCTCGTGCACAAAAAAAAGCAGAGGTAAGCATATTATTGGAAGTACACATATGTGTTGTTGTTGTTGTTGTTGTTGTTGTTGTTGTTGTTGTTGTTGTTGTTGTCTTCACATAAAACTCGTGTCAGTCGCTAATAGTCCCAAAATCTGGCAAAGACTCGGCCCGTGGTCACAAAAATGCTAGAGCCATTCGAGGATCTAATAACGCGCACACTATTATCAAGAAAAGGGTACACAACAAGCCCGAAGAGGTATGTGTGTGAGTCTATACTTGATACTTCTTAAAGACGAAAATTCATGCGTCTTTTTTTTTCTGTAGTTTCGGGTACGCCTCGTGCGCAAACACACGTACCGACGCGATGGTGTCCAGAGCGGCCTTGTTGACCAGACCCGCGACGACCTCCCCGTCCTTGTCGTCTGGTCCAGAAGCACCCAAGCTCTGTCAGGATCGGTGGAACGGCGAGACGGCGGGACGGAAGCAACAAGCGGGAAGGGACGGCAATTTATGATGTTGTTCTTCATCTCCGGCGCCTCCCTTTGATTACAATTAGTGATCACCTCAGCTTATCGCCAACAAAGGACTAAGCCGCGGCCACGAACGTGTGTACGCTTGTTGCCGGCTCTCTTTGGGTACGCCAAGGGCATGAGCTGTGCGGCGGCAGAGCGAACGAAGGCTTGCGGGTCCAAGACAAATAGGAAGGAAGACGGCACCCGTGCTGGTGGTCGTGCGCACATGACCCGGCCTCAGAAAACGTGCATCCAAGAACGCAGAAACACAAGAAAGCAAAAGAAAGCAACGCACACACCCACATGGTTAGCGCGGTCGATTGCTGTTTCAAACAACACATACCACCCGCATTGGGCATCGTCTACCACCGGCGTTGTCTAGCGCCCGCTTGGCGACCGTAAGCCAATCATGAGAGAAAAAAATACGTAGGAAGGAGCCAGCGCTACTACTAACGAGGCCACGTTTTCGCAACGACCATATAAGCGGCGGTGTCTCCCCCCCCTCACCTGCCCCAAGATGGCCCGGAGCCGGTCCTCCTCACAGGGCATCATGTGGATCACGCGGCAGTCCCGCCTCTTCATACCCTGCTCGAACTTGAGCTCTATCGCCCGGTCGAGGGACGGTACCTGATGATGATTATATTGGTTCCGCCCCCCCCGCCCCCCGCCCGGACAACACGAAAGCAAAGAGCCGCGCCCAACATACGCCGAAGCAGGGGAGTCAGAACGATCATGCCAACGGATACAGATCTCTTCCCTTCTTCTCTCACGTTATCCTAGCTTGCGAGACAAGCCCGCTCGAAAGTCGCCATGGCCGTCACCTCGCCGAAGTTGTCTCCTCTGGACTCCTCTGGAGGAGGGAAACCGAATCACCCCCTCCCTCCCTGGACGTTGGCATCGCTACCGCTCGCCGAAACAGCAGTCGCGAGAAAAGAAAAACTGCTTGACTTGATGAGAACGGGCAGTCAAAAACATCCGGCAGCCGCGAGGCACGATGACAACGGCGGGCTCTCTCCTCACCATGTACACGACAGCAAACGGGCTGCCACCCTTGTACGCCAGGTCTAGGAGGCGCTCCAGCGTGACCGAGCTCAGGGTTTGCTTGACGTCCTCGACGGCAAACTTTGAGCGGGGGCGCGCGGGGGGGCGGGGATACCAAGACACCCCGAGCGAGACCAGGGGCATGACAACGGAAGACAAAAAGTCAATGGGGCGTATGCATAGCTACACTAGGTCAGCGCGGACATGATAAACTCGGCGGGAACAGGAATATCGCAGACCCCCTGGGTGGCACCGTCGATGCTCACGACCGGAGAAGAAACATGACTGCAACAAAAGGGTTACACACAAGCACCCACGCACATTTTCCTCCACGGTCCCTTCTTGTAGGGGACCCCCCGTCGTTTGGAAATCATTCCAGCCCCCCCCCCTTGGTTTATTTTCTTTGTCCATCCGGTAATCGCGGCCAACGCCATTCAAACAAAACACCCACACATGCATAAACCGCAAAGGCACCGACGCCATACACGCCGACACCCACCATGACGAACAACGCACAACACAAACACCAGCAGCCCCAAAACACAACCAAACAAGGGCGTGACAACAAGAAATACCGTACCGGTGTTGTCGTGCGACTCACCACGGTGAGAAAGCGGGACGGCTCCGACAACCTCCCGAGCTCCTCCAGGGCTCTCTTTCCGTCCATCCTCGCGTTCGTGACCGATCTGAGCACCTTGGAGAAGATGTCGTTCGGGTCGTCCTCGTTGAGCTGGTCGCCCTTGATCGTCACGAACCGCAGCGTGGTCACCTTCGCCACGCCCACTATTGACGCCTTCTGCTCAGCCAAGGGGGGGGGGGTTCCGCGAATACCAAGACACGGGGGTTGTGCGGTGTGAAAGTCAAGGGGGGGGGGCAACAGGTGTACTGTTGCATTGAGCCAAGTCCAACTCCACCAGACAACGAGTTGGACCTGGTCTGGCCTCAGGGTAAGCTGCAAACGAAACCAACGACAGAACAAATCCCAAGAGAAACCGTCTTCGCGTTCCAGACAACTTCATCCGAGACAGGGCTATAGCTGAACCGAAACCGCCGCAACCATGAAAGGCGAATGTGTCCGAGAAAAAAACAGGGTGGTTGCTAACCCCGTCGTCCCCCGGGCTAAGATATCTTGTTTTACTCTTTATCTTCCAACCAAATACAACTTCATCATAGACGGGGGTGGTAGATCTCAACCATCCGGCGTTGTGCCGTTAGGGCCTCAACGAACAGTGGAAAAAGAACAACGATGCACCGAATGGTGGCACTGGGCAACACCAGCCTGCGTCCATGCGCATCTCCCTGGCCTATCTTGTTGAATTACGTACGGTTTCATGAAAAAAATGGCAGAACGCAGAGGAGCGCCTCTCCCCCGAAACCTCATGAGCTAGTGACGGCAACACCCGATCTCGACCTCTCAATCTCACCGCTGCGGCTTGGAAGGCTGTCGACTTTCCAGACCCCCTGGGTCCCGCCAAGACCATCGCTCCGGCTCCGATCATCCCTTGCAACGCGCCAACGTTGTTGCGCTGCTGGAGCTGTTATTGTGGCACAGCAATCGTTTTTATTGGGACGTCAAATACGGCACGGTGCAGCGGAAAGCATGGGGATGGGATGGGTTAGACGGGACACAACAACATTCACACGACGATCAGAATAGCATTAAAGCAAGGTGAACGGTACCAGGCGAGGGTTCGTGAAGACCACAACTGCGCTGCTGCTCAACNCCCCCCCCCCAAGAAAATAACCTCTGCATCTCCGCCGCCCCCATCACATCATCAGCTGCGCCACCCGCCCTCCCGTCCATGTAGCACACCTGCGCCAACCACGCGTTGTGCGCCTTCTTGACGAACTTCACCACGTCGGCGACCGGCCTCTCCACTCCGCAGGGCCCCGGGAACGGGCGCTCCGTGCCGTCCAGAATGCCGCGGACGGTCTTGAGCTGCTTGTTCGCCAGCCGCACCAGCTCCTTCAGGGTCACCTGCGGCGCCGCCCGCTTGGGCCTCTTGGCGGGCGACGGGGCCGGCGGGCTCTTGGCGAGCCTGCGCGCCGTGACGGCCTGCCGCATCACCTGCCGCCTGGGGGACGGACGGGCGAGCGGCGGGCGGGCGGGTCGCGAGAACAAGGATGAGAGGACGGGTGGTGTTTCTCGGCACTGCTGTGGGCAGCTTTTTTTGGGGCGTGGTAATACGGTCGGTCGCTGCAAGGGCGGCGTGATCGCATATGGCCGTGCGACTACTGCTGTCGATGTGTAGCAATGCGGTAAGTATGTCTACCGTTTCTCGCTCAGGCCCAATATCCAATATCCTGTGTATCCCTACGTACTGCATCTCTCTATGTCTGTATGTCTGTATGTCTGTCTGTCTGTCTGTCTGTCTGTCTGTCTGTCTGTCTGTCTGTCTCTCTCTCTCTCTCTCTCTCCCTCCCCCTCTCCCCGTCACTCACGTCAGGTTCGGCGCCGACCCGCGCGGAGGCGAGACCAGAGCGGCCTCGACCTGCATCGTCTTCCCGTGGCTGCGCTTGCCCCCGACAGCGCTCGGCCCCGTGCCCCTGCCGCCCTGCTGCTGTCGTCCCCGTCGGGCCGCGCAGCCGCCGGGCGGGACTGCACCCTCCCCCTTCTCGCCCTCCCCTTCTTTTTTATCCATTACCTCCAGGGAGTCATCGTCAGAGCTAATGTTGCCGCTCCCGCTCCACTCCTCGACACCGCCAACATTATCGGGTTCTGCCGCACCGTCACCTCCCCCCCCGTGACTCCCATCAGCGGCGCCCCCTGCATTCCTCGCCGCCGCTGCCGCCACGGTGCCGTTGGTGGTAGTGCTTCCGGTGATCGCGCCGCCGCCGCCGCCATCAGTCGCACTCTTGGAGGGCGGCGCAGCAGGGGACGGAGCGGAGGCAGCAATGGCGGCGGCGGCGGCGGCGGCGGTGGTTTCTTGACGCGCAGGAGAGCGCGAGGGAGGCGGAGGCGTTGGTGCCACCGCTGCGCCGCTGCGCGAGGAGGGCTTTCTCTTGCCGCTGGCAGGCTTCCCACGGCCGGCCTGCGTCGGCGCCGTTGGCGGTGGCGACCGCCGGGCATCGGACACTCTGCTGCTGCCGGAGCGTGAGGTCGAACCAGGGCTGGATCTCCCGATCTTGAGGCCAATTGAGGGGGAAAACGTCGGGGGAGGCGGGGGGGCGTGGGAGCAAGCGGAGCGCGTGGTTGAGTGGATGGGTGAGTTAGACGCCACAAGGGTGGACGTCACAAGGAAGTTTATGCTGCGGTGCACGGGAATTATGGCCAGCACGGCGGGGCAGAAAAGCACGCGGGGCATCGCCCGCTACTTGTCCTAAACGTTGCATAACTGATACATACGGCTAGATAGGGGAGAAGTATGCACGCTACGACAGCCAGCGATCGGTGAAAAACGGCATCGGCCGGTGAAATGCGACTGAAAAAAAAAAGTCCCACCCCAGGGAAGAGCAAACCAGACCACAGCAAACATTCACGACGCGAAGCGATACAGGAAACGACCACACCTGCAATTCAATAAAAACAAGGCAAATTAACCACCGTCATCGAAAATGCACACTCCCTCAGCAACGCACCAGCGAGGGATACACAAAAACGAACAGACAGCAGGTACAACCAAAACAAGGTACAATGGCAAACGGTATCTGCAACGCACCACCGTTCCGTGGAACGCGATTGACAAAACTAAATGTCTCATCCCATCCACAGGGAAGAGAAACCCATACCAGAAGAGAAAAAGTTCATGAGACACCTAACACCAAACGACCAAACAGCAGTACAGCAGTACAACCAAAATAAGGTACAAAAAAAGGTACATATCTGCAACGCACCACCGTCCCGACGGGGGCGGGCCTCTCCAGGCCGGTCCGGCGGACGTGGTCGATCACGGCGTCCTCCGAGTCGAAGAAGTCACGCCGAAGGACGGGGTGACGCATCTTGGGGTCGGAGCCGGGGGGGAAGTAGTGCCACGAGGCTAGGCCCTACCGTTTCAGAGAGAGGGCAAGACGGGGAGGGGGAGAGCCAGGCAGACAGGCAGGCAGGCAGATAGGGAGAGAGCGAGACGACGAGAGAAAGACGCAACCACGCAGACAAGATCGGGCCAAACGACAGGTGCAGAGGGAAAAGTCGAAGGCGAGGAAGAGGTACATGTGAGGCGCTATTTCCCTGGGAGACTTCTACATGATTCGAATCAACGCTGGCGCTACCTTTGGTTGTGACTGGAAACATGTGGCAACGAGACATAGAGCAACCAGGTGTCCCGGGGGAAGAAGACCAGAGCAATTTATCGGATAGGGTCGCACAAAAAACGACATTTTACAAAAAACGATCGACGAACGCAAGCAACCACCACGCAGCCCTATATACGTGCAAGAAAGTAAAGCTTCTAAGCATCGAAAAAATGGGCGGAGGAAGCCCTGAAAACTCAAGCCCCACCGTCCGAGGGAGCAATCCCTGAATTCACGCCATGCATCTGGAGTACAACAATCTGCATACTTCCCTCACACATACAGAACGCGCCACTTAACAACGCAGGAGTTCAGAAAAATTGAGCCTAAAAAAAAATCTACTATAAACGTAGCACCATTTGTGAGCTCGGTCTAGAACCCTCATACTACAACCTATATAGCGGCCATTCGTCGTACAACCCTAGGAACTAAGAACCCCAGCTTCGACCACAACTATCAACAGAGGTTCTTAAGTGCGGGCACGTTCTGTATACACGCTCGTATGTGTGCATACCTTGCCGGGGAGGGTGGCCCAGCCGTTGTGCCGGAGGTAGTTCCACAGCTCCGCGAAGCTCGCGAAGGAGGTGCCAGTGCCGAAGTCCAGCAGCACACCCGTCCGCTTGGGATTCATGTGCGCCATGCTGGCCTTGCTCACCGGGGTACCCGGGGTGGCACACGACTGCTGCTGCTGCTGCTGTTGTTGTTGCTGCTGCTGTTGCCTCGTCATGGAGTCGGCCGCGGCGAGAGCGGGCGCGAACTGGTGCTTGAGCTGGGCCCCCAACTAATTTGTTTTATTTTTACCAGCAAGGAATAGATGACGGTGGCGACGGCGGCGAAGAGGGGGCAATCGTTAGGCTGCGGGTGTGGTGTGTTCTCTAGTCTGCTTTGGACGCACATCCCTTGAAGAGAAAAGAAGCCGGGTTTCCGCGGCAAAAACAAAACTGGTATGGATGTATGTATTCCTCTACGAATCAATCGCTAATCTACCTCGGACTCTCTCATTCATGCGCAGACAAACATGTTTTCTTCTCTCGATACTACATACATGCAAAACAGCAATAACTGTACGGTACGCTATCATAAATATCTCCAGATGTGGCCATCCGGTACGCTGCGTAACCAAGGAGTTAGAGCTCACCCCCTCCGGCCTCGACGAGACGGAGCGGGACCACCGACGAGATCGGAAACACTTCAACGGAGGTCCGTGCATGCGCAACGAAAATCCCCCGTCCTTTCAATTAATCAGAATACCGTATATGACACGAGATAACACACCCCCTGAACCGATTTTCAAAGCTCGATTACTCCACGACGAAGATGATGCATAAACGAAATAATATATTTTCGAAAGGCTCTCGACGAGACGGTTTCAACGCCGCCGTTTTCGGCGCTGTGACTGTTCCTGCAGTTGAGAAATCGAAAACAAAAATCGGTCAAGGGGATGTGTTATCTTGTGTCATATATGGTAACCCAACGAATACATCTCTATCTGAAGAGAAGAGTCTATAAGATAGATTAGCAATGCATCCATAGCGTCAGCGAAAGTTCTGTTTTGCATCATCCGTTAATCCCGGCACACCCATTGCACCGGGCGCTAAAACGTTGTGTCATACAGAAAACGTACGAGCAAGGCCGAATTTCCCCCCCCCCGTGAGCACGCCGTAGAGGACAGGCGATCGGGCAGCACGGAGAAGACAACGTGAATGACGACGGAGTGAGGATGCTTGAATTCTTGGGAAGCAACGAACTGATGGTGTTGAACGGTAGGAGGGAATGCGATAAGCCGGAGTTCACCAGGCAACGGGCAGTTTGCAATGAATACTCGATCCTCGACTACATCCTGGTAGATACGAGGAGCACGCAGATCCCAGAGCTGCA